GTAGTCTCGCCCCACCTGTGCACCAGTGATGCAAATGAATAGGGTAAAGGGCATCACTAGTCTTCCCAATACCTGATATTTCACAAGTGCTTCGAAGACTTTAATAAAGTGATTACAGCACAGGCCTGCCAACTCTGCTGTGTGCCTTCCTAAGGCATCCTCTGCACTGACCTTGAAACAGACTACCAGCTCTTTTGGAAAAGGGAAATGATTTTGATATGCAAATAGGGTTTAGGTTATAGAGATGACAAAAGAAGGGTTCCAGGAATCAGGGAAGTCTCTCATACTACACAATGAGAAAGGATAGAAATGGAAGAATAGTGGGGCGATGGTTTGGGAGTGAACCAGCAAGAAAATGAAAGCATGAGAAAATGAAAACAGTGAAAAGGAAAACGAGCAGAGACAAACTGCTGAATAGCTCTTTGTCTGAAGAAGAAGACTCCCCTCCTTCCCCCGCAAAGGTAGGGCTGCCAAGCAGTTCCATGCAGCCACAGGAGAGTAGACTAGGCCATCCTTTGCCGACTGTGGGCATCTTGCCATGGAGGGGACAGGCACAGGCGAGAGAGATCGTAACAGCACATGGAGGAGTTTGAAGACATGAGCAGGGACCAAATTTAAGAACCACAGAAAACACCTGGCTTCTGTCCTTCATTGGTGTTGACACCTGATCAAAGCTTTCAATACACTGTCATTATCTGGAGTGGTCTTTGCCTCCCAGGGATGATACAGCAATGAACTAGGAAAGTGACTTAGTTCCTAGTTCTATCATTTGAACACAGGCAGGGTTAGGTGGAAGAATCTGGACGCTATCACTATGACCAAAAGAGGTAGGAAACAATCTGGTGGGATGTTCTGTAGGAAGCAGCTATGAAAACAAGCATGACAAGGGGATGGAAAGGAGGAGAGCGGAACATGGAGCGAGGCAGGAAAGGCCAGAGCCCAGGGAGAAGTTGGCTAATGGTACTTTAGAGTAAGCAAGTAGGATCCCAGAAGCAACTTACAGGGGAATGGCTGCCGGGCTCTTCTCATGCAAAGGCCCGGGAAAGGACCGGGTTAGGTCTAGCAAGGAAGCGGAAGCAGGAAGCAGTCAGATTGGATATGGCCATCCGGAGACAAGTGCAGAGCAGCCAGCTCAGCTCACACTGACATGCACACCTGTCAGATCTGTCATATAATTCCATTCCAATCTGCCGGAGTGGAGTTTCTCCTGGGGAGAATTCATACTTACCTTTCTGGGCAGGGACCACAGCCCATCTCCCAACCACAGAGCCCTACACCCGGGAGAGCCCATCTCATGGTTCCCATTTCACTTGACCTTTGTGTTTTGCTGGTGTCACTTTCTGAGGAGAGCCTGCCGAGCCTCCAAGCATTCACAGGAAGTTACCCCTAGAAACAGCACCCTACTGATGGCTCCTGCGTAACCTACATGCACACACACACACACAGTGCAGCTGGCCCCGAGGCCTAGTACGCTCCACATCTGATAAGGTTCCCAGGCTTGACAAATGGACCATTCACCGGCTATCTTACATACAAATATTTTAGTCACTAATCCTTAGAAAAGCTGGTCAGCATAAATGATAGCCTAAACAAAGACCCCGAGAGTTAAACATCCATTTTCCCAACTCCTTTAGAACAGACACAGCAATTTCACAATACATTTGTGAATTTGAAGGTACAGACGGAAGTCTAACACTGGTATGACTGGAAGGTTCTGATGATCTTTTCCCTTAGACCTGTAGAGGGAACTAGACAATTTGCAATCTGGAATATTATGCTGGGACCCAGCAAATTATGTTTGGGCGCCTTACAATTTGCAGGTGTTTCTTCTCTTTTTGACTCTGTAAGTAGCAGTAGAGAATAATGGGAACTGAGTGATAAGGTGGATTTTTAACAAAGTCTCAAAACAGCTTACTTACTGGTTTGAAGACCAGTTATCATCTGGCTCTGCTTGATAATTAATACCCCCCCCCCCTTATACGTATGGGTGTTTTGCCTTTGTATGTATGTCTTTGCATCACATGTGTGCAGTACCAGAGGTGGCCAGAAGAGGCCACTGGAACCTCTGGGATTGGAGTTGAAGATAGTTGTGAGCCATGAGGTGGGTGCTGGAAATTGAACACAGGTCTTCTGGAAGAGTAGCCAGTGCTCTTAACCTCTGAGCCATCTCTCCAGCCTCTTAATTTATTATTATTATTTTTTAAGACTTATTTATTTATTTATTTATTTATTTATTTATTTATTTATTATTTATACAATGTTCTGCCTACATGTATCCCTGGGGGCCAGAAGAGGGCACCAGATCTCATTACAAATGGTTGTGAGCCACAAGTGGTTGCTGGGAATTGAACTCAGGACCTATGGAAGAACAGCCGGTGCTCTTTTATTATTATTATTTTTTAAGACTTATTTATTTATTTATTTATTTATTTATTTATTTATTTATTATTTATACAATGTTCTGCCTACATGTATCCCTGGGGGACAGCAGAGGGCACCAGATCTCATTACAAATGGTTGTGAGCCACAAGTGGTTGCTGGGAATTGAACTCAGGACCTATGGAAGAACAGCCGGTGCTCTTAACCACTGAGCCATCTCTTCAGCCCGACAATTTATTTATAAACTTGTTGGCAAGTAACTTCTGACTAGAAAGAATAAATACTTTCATGAATTGTTTTCTCTATTAAAATATTGAAGAAAGGAACTTACAGCCTAGTTTTGAAAACCACAGCTTGATAGGATAAGAACACAGAAAGAAACATGCAAACCTGTGTCAACCCAAAGGATTCAGAGCAGCTTAGAACACAGAAGAACATCTGTACTTGCCAGTTTAGAATGAGGACAGAAATAAGAGCCCAAAGGGTGCACAGCCTGTCCATGGGCTTCCGGGTACTCACGAGAGTACCTGTGGCCTGGTTTACAAGCTCCAGATCAGCATTTAGGACCTTTTTTTCCATTCCCCGCATCTCTTTCTCCCCACCTTTTTTTGAGACAGCATCTCATGTCTCCTGTGGAGCCAAAGATGACTGTGAACTCCTCCTATCCTTCTGTTTCTATCTCCTGAATGCTGGAATTACAGGTATACAACAAGGAGCCTGGTTTATGGGTCTCGAGGATCAAACCCAGGGCTAATTGCATGCTAAATTAAGTACTTTATCTACTAAGCTACATTCTTAGGTCCCCCCCCCCTTTTTTTTTTTTGAGACAGGGTCTTTATGTAGATGAAGCTGGCCTTGAACTCATGCTTCCCAGGTGCTGGGATTACAGGTATATGTAATATGTAAGACATAGGCTTTAAATTTTTATCTATTTTTAAAATATTCACTTAAGTGTAAGTATTAATGTGTAAGTATTCTGCCTACATCTGTGTAAGTGCACACTGTATGTGTGTTCCCACAGAGATAAGAGAAGGGCATCAGATCCCCTGGAACTGGAATTGCGGATGATTGTGAACCACCATGTGAGTGCTGGGAAGCAAACCCAGGTCCTCTGCAAAAGCAGTAAGTGCTCTTAACCACTGAGTTGTCTCTCTTGCCACCCTTGCCCAGGCCATTTTGTACCAAGCATTACTGAAAGCCACCTAACAGCAGAGAACAGATGGTATAGCTAAGGGTTTCAGATGGGAAGCCCTCACATATAGAGAGTTGTATGTGTTCATTCATAAAGAACTATTTGGCAATATTAACATACTATGATAAGAGGAAGGAAATACTTCTTTGAGTGAGGTGGGTTTGGAAAACCTAGAAGATGGAAAATTCAATGCTGTTTCTGAGGGTGTTGTTCCATCTCCTCAAGAAGACTGAACACTACTTCTACTTTTAAAGTGTCTGAGGGATAAGTAGTTATTGCTTCAAATTCTACATGACTATTACCAGTCACAGCCATGAGTGTGAGGGGCAGGACTGGCATTTCCCCTCCACTCTGCAACTATAAGGGGTTAACAGGATTGTGAGTACAGAATCTGGTAAAACCATGTCCTTTGACCTGGTTAGGCCCTGAACACTTTTTTTTTTTTGTATGTGGTGGTGGGAGATACATACATAACATCCTTTTAAGCTGGTAAAACAACAACTGTCTCTTAAAAGCAATCCAATTGCATATTGGAGATACTTACTGACAACAGAGGACATCTGGGGATTTGTCTGATGTATCCCAGGTTTCTGCTTCCTAGCTATAGAATCTACATCTGACTTGGCATTGCACAGCCACTAAAGTAAGATCCTTGATGGAAGGAAAAAGGCTGAGTGAGTACTGAGGGATATGGCCACACAGCACCATGTACTGCGGAGATGAGCTGCTCCAGTATCTTAGATAGATAGGGCTACTTTAAGCTGTTCCTTCTATTCCCCTCCTATAGCAATGGACTGGCACTCAAAATTGGCAACAGTCCATTCAAGTAGCTAAAAGAGCTGACGGTCATTGCTGGTCATCCTCGAGAAGAGGAAGGCAGTGAGTCCTCAAGTAGGTCACGGGGAGGCATGAGTTTGCACTAGGGTGGTGAAGGCCAAGAACTCTGAAATACTGCAGAGGAAATGGCCTAGGACAGGAAATTGATATGCAAATAAATTCTCATACTGCTGTAGAATGACTCAGCTCGTGTTCCTCCTGCAAGAGCTGTATATGGGGAGAAAGGCCTAGGCTTCCTGGAGCTCCCCTAGTGGGGACTCTGCAGAGCAGGAGAATTTGCCCTCGCCCTGTCGCCCGGTCTCCTGAGGGAGAAGCCACTGCCTTGAAAACTTTAGAAGTTGAACTTGGTCTCCCCATAAACCAACCTGTTGCTCCTAGAAGGCCTCTGAGGTGGCCACAGTGGATGCAGCATGAGCTGAGAGAGCCTAAAAGATGGCTGAGGGGAGGTGCACACTTCCCCCAATACACCATCTCTTCTTGAGGATATTCAGTTGGCACTGCCAGTTAGAGCAGGCAAGCCTAGGCTCAAGCATCTAGTTTAGGCAGGCATATGGAGAACAGACACACCAAGACAAAGATAATGTCTTCATACCTTCATCTCTTCTTCCATTTCTGACATTTTACGTTCCAATGCTCGCCTCTCCTGTTTAGAAACAAAGAGCTTGTTAAAGAGATAATGGGCCAGGACGCAATCACAAAGCTACCCCCCACATGTCACACTGTCAGCAGCTTCATGGTCTCGGAGTCTGTCTAGACTAGGGCAAACCTTCCTGCACACGTACACACTCTGCCCTGCTACCATAGGATGGAGCTACTTCACCCATGACATTCCTATCACCTAAGTCTTCTATCAGAAGAAGATTGGAAGGTACAGGAACAGCAACCTGCTAATAGGCAAGCAGACCAAGACTCTGAGTTATTCCTTGCAAGTTAAAGTTTTCAAATGACTGCAGGTACCTAGGACCCTTGCTCTAGAAACAAAAATCCATTGTCTTTAGGAATGCCCCACCTATGCTCCCAGGGAACTGCTTCTTTTATGATGGGGACACATGATCAGTGGGGAAGAAGACAGAGATGACTGCCAGCCGCCCCCCCCCCCCCCCCCCCCCGCCCCATTTCTTTTTAATTAATTGAGATACCAAGGAGATAGAGGCCAAGGGAATGAATATAAAACTTAGCTTTTTCCAAATTAAACAGACAATAAGAAAGATAGTAACATACTATATCCCGAGAGTCAAATTGGAATTAGGGTTCATCACTAAATCTCACTGAGTTTCCCAATCCAAGAACATCAAGTCCCAGACAAACATCTGAGTACAGCTGGGACCAGGACAGGAATCTGACCAGAATGCCCCCCACTCCAGGACTGATGAAGGCTGATTTTCAGGTCTTAAATCATAACCCCTAAATCAATGGCAAGGGGTCTTGATAAAAAATTTCCTTTAAAAATGTTTATTTGTGTGCGTGTGCATGCACACATGTGTACTATGGTATATGTATGGAGGTCAGAGAACAACTTCTGGACAGCAGTTCTCTCCTTCCACCACAGGTCTGCTGACTGAAGTCAAGTTGTCATGCTTGCGTATACAGGCACTTTTACTTTTGAGTCACCTCACTGGATATCTTTTTTCTCTTGAGATTAGGTTTTGCTATGTAGCTGTGGATAGCCTGGAACTCACTATGTAGTATAGGCTGGCCCTGAATTTGTGACAATCTTGCTCTGATTCACAAATGTGGGGATTAGAGGTTTGTATCACCATGACTAGCTGAGACCTTCCTTTCTGTCTTAAGGCCATGGACAGGGTAGAAAGCCCTTAGACCTGTGAACACCTGTAAATAACCAAGTATCTTACAGCTCTGTGTATGTATGCAAGTTTTGAAGGCAGAAAAATGCATGGGATAACTTCCCAAGACTCCTTCCCACCCTAAAACTGGTGTGTTCAAAGTAACCAACTATATGAGGAGGCCAAAATGACTGGTCATCAAATTACTGTCCAGAGCCAGACCAAAAAAAAAAAAATTATCATTAAGCTGGGAATGGAATGTGGCAGAGCTCCTGCCTTCTTAAGATGAACTTTTTCCATTGGCAGCAACAACAAAGTTAGAGAAGGTCAAAAGAAGACATGCAGCAGGCGTCCAAGGAGATGTGCATACCCTTTTCTCCATCTCGAGCACCGACGACCGGTCAGAGGTCTTCTCTTGTTTCTGCTGTGCGAACAGAAGGGAGACAGTTGTTATTGAGGCTGTTTCATGTGTAGTAGGAAGCCCAGTTTTGCTCTGGTTCATCACCAGATATCCAGAAAGAGACAACAGGGCTCTGGGCTTTTCCTTTTAGCAAGGGCCTCAGCAAACAGATTGTGGGAGATTGCTAAGCCCAACACTTGCCTTTAACAGTATGTAGGATGGTCAGTGGGGGAGTAGAAGGAAGGAATAGTCCCTGAAGTCCAACACATGTACAGATGCTACTCATAACACACATACCTGCCTCTCACCTTTCCTCTCCCTTTAGAAAACAACTCCACATACAACTCCACATACTAATTGCTTTCTTACTGAATCACCCTACCCCGCCTTCCTTAAAGGCTGGAAATCCCCTGACTTTAGTGCCTGAAACCTGTGGCACTCTTGCAAACAAGTGCTTTCCCTGTCACTTCTGCTCTGAGCACCGAGGCCATTTTCTTTCTAGTGTGGTTTAGACAGTCTTCTCAGCCAGCTTTCTGGTTGTCTGAACAAAGCTGTTCCACTTTTATCTGTTTGGTTTCCTTCTTAATCTGTTAACAAGATTTTATTTGAATCAAGGCTTTACAATATATATTTAGATCATCACTGATATTTTCAATTTCAATCCTTCAGAGGAGTAAGGTCCTGCCTTAAATCGAGGAATGGAGGAGCCTGTAAGTCTCCTTTGGTCTTAAGCATTATAGGACTGGGTGGAATTTTGTATATTCAATAGGCATTTAACGAGTAAATAATTCTATCTTGTCTAGCACAATTCCCAGACATTTGCAATAAGTGGGGACATTAGGCTGGTCCTGCAGAAGGTTTCCTCCCTATCCCTCCTTTTCTTTCTTCCTCAATTACTGAAGAGCTGAAACTAACAATAAAACTTGGAATTCTGGCTCTCGTCCTAGACTTTCCCCTTCTGCTCTGAAGGTCATGGCTGTCTGCCTCTACACTGCATCTGCTGAGGCAGAAAGGACAGAGGAAAATGCACAGTAGACTTTGGAGTTTCTATCTTCCTTCGTCCCTTTCCTAAGCTTGACAAGTGGGAGGATTTTGAGATTTGCAAAGTTCAGAATACAAAGAACTAGTTTTTTGTTTTCTTCTTTAATTTTAAATTATAACTCCCTTGACTTCGAGTCAACCTTTTATGTGAAATGCTGCATATGTCCATGTGGGAACTGTCTCCAAACAAATGCATGAGGCTGACAGCCACCCCCCCCCCGCCCCCCCCCCCCCCACCCTACCAAACACCCCCACTTTTT